ATTTCTCCTCCCTTATGTGTTTCACCCTCTTCTTTGCCTTCAGAAAAACTTCTACAGATTTAGCCCAAGGTACATAATTCTCTCCATTCAATTTAATGGAGGTCATTTGAACATTCAGGTAGTCAGTAGGTATCATCACATTAGATTTGCTATCACTGTTATCTCCTATTGCTGAATTCTATTATTACTGAATTTGGCACACTGCACACTACTTGATCACACTGGTTTCAGCACTTGTTATTKCTGAAGGTTGCACTCTTTACACCACAAACCCTAACGACTACCTGAAATCTCGCCACTATATGATAACCACTCCCCCTTCGAATCACACAAAAAGCAGCATAAACCCTAGCACACTACAATTTGATTCATAACAAAACTATGCATAGAACTCTCTTACCTCATCACTCGAAAAACAAACCACACAAGAAGAAAATCAGTCCATACAAGATACCCACTGCACCACACGAATCAGCCCTCTTCTCTTCATCGATTAGGGGAGGCCTTCTTAGAAACCACAGCAACTGACCATGAACAGCACAACTAGAGGCATAGAAACCTCCAAGGGAAGAGGGCAACCACTCCTTTTCAGCCCTTTCCCTTATCTCCAATYGATGGCAGAGAAATCAAGAGAAAACCCTAGATTGAGTGCATAGAAAACAGAAATCTGGGCAGATCCGAGTTGCTTAGTTTTGCTCTGATACTATATTATAATTCGGCCTGCCTTTGAGTTATGTTAGTCTGATAACAGCCAAGAAGAGAGAAGAATAAAGAAGAAAGAAAGAGAGAGAGAAAGGAGGAGAAAATGAGAGAAGAAAGTCTGGTTCGAATTAGGAAAAGATCACATCTCCCACTGGGCCAGACATGTTTTATATTACTAATATAATGGAAAAGACACATGTGCCCTTATTTAAGCGAGGGACACTAGTTTTAATATAATATTACAGATCAGCAACCTAAACATAAGTATAAAGACAGAAATACCCCTACACTAACAGAAACAAATAAATGAGGGATTAGATGGGAAACATTATCATATACAACAATAATTTTTTGTTGGAAGATGAGTTCAAACACCTATGCTTAACAGGAGTTGAAATTGGTACTTGACTGCTTTTAATTTATTTATTGAAAGTAGAAAGTCCAAATCTACATAAATTTAAAAGATTGAGCAGGCTTATCTGACAGAAAAATAGTAAGATCAGAAATGGATGACCAAATAAGAACACTAACCTGAAGAAGCTCCTCTGCTGATGATGAATTGTGCAACCTGACACCCCATGATTTGCGATAGTTCTCATTCCAAAAAGGTTGAAAAGCTTCTTGTGGAACAGAGACCTGCCAAAAAAAAAATTAGAACATAATCATAGACTACATTAGAAACAAACAACAATACATAATATGGAGAAAGAAAATTGAGCTAAAATATGCATAATGTTGTTATTCAATTTTTTATCCTAAGAGAAATTTCCAATGAACATATTTAATTGCCCACCTCAACTAGAACTAGCATTGCCTTCACCAATCTTGTCCTCAAAGGAAGATAAGAATCTATATAATGGGAATTCCAGTCAGGGTCCACCTTCTGATTCTCTTCACATTGCACCACATGTTCAGAAAATTTTAAATTTAAGCTGTTAGATAACTTGCCAAAAGTCCTGTGACATGAAGGACAGTGGTTGTCTTCAAAGAAGTAGTAATCTTGGCAGGAATCACATGTGCCGAACAGTTGCGCACATCTTTTCTTCCCATATTTCATGGCAGATAAAGTTGAAGGAGTAAAGCATTCTTTCCACATCCACTTCTGGAAATCTTGATATCTCTTCAAGGCATCATTTTTCTCAGGTTCACTCCTCCCAAGCTGAATTTTGAAAGAAGATGCCTGCTCTGATGTTTCAGAACTTGAACTACATAATATACTGGTAGGACTATTGATTCCAACAGTACAATCAGAAGTGGGACCCATTCCAGAAGCTTCAATTTTGACAACTACTCCACTCGGGTCCCCAATGTTGGTCCGACATGAGTTCCTTCTTGCAGTTACCTTGAAGGAAATCTCAATCTTCTGAAGCATAGAATGCAAGTGGGATTCCCTAATACCTCGTGTATCTAAAGATGTCATAAGAGCATCAAAAACCTACATACAAAATGAATATAATGAATTAAATTGATAAAAAAACATGGATACTGTACTGTTACATGGACCAAGCACAAACATGTGCTTTAGGCTCAGTTTGGAAGGAGTACAAATACAAATATGTAGAGTGCAAAACCTTGTATTTTGTATGTATTTGTATTTGTACTCCTTCCAAACTGAGCCTAATAATAAGGCTCAGTTTGGAATATGTACAGTACAAATACAAATATGTACTGTAAATACTGTACATATTTGTATTTGTACTCCTTCCAAATACAAAATAATAAGGCTCAGTTTGGAAGGAGTACAAATGCATACAAAATAATACAAAATACAAGGTTTTGCATTCTACATATTTGTATTTGTACTCCTTCCAAACTGAGCCTTAGCAAAGTAAGATGGAGAATTGATATCCATATTAAGCTTTTTAACAGTCAAAACTACAGTGGCTATCCTTCTCAATTGAGTAGAAACTTCTATCATGAGATTGTATTTTTCTCTCTCCTAACTTCGTATTTTATGAGCTTTACTTGTTCCAACAGTCATGTGCTTCCTCAACCCAGCCACCTTATTCAGCCTAAATGCATGCTCTAGTTGTTTATTGTTCCATAACAGAATAGGTAAATTTGGCACTGCACATATACATGTACTTTTTAGCCACATTAGCAATTATAAAAAAAAATTTTATATTAAATAGTTAATCATCACTCAATCAGTAAAACTATACTTCACCCATCAAGAAAAAAAAAAGTATAGAGCTTTTAATTAAGAAAAGTAAATAAGTTTTCACAGGAAGCCAAGGAAAAAACCTTCCCCAACCAGAGAATTAGAATGCCTGGCACAACAAAGGATGGGCTGCAAGGTGCAGGCAAATGGAAGACCAAATGCCTACCATTTTGCACCAAAACCCAGGAATCAAGATCCTAAAGCACAAAGAACAAGAAACAAACCTCAATTCTGTTTTTGCTGTCAATGGATGCATTTGACCCTGTCAAACACACACATACACAGCATAGTGGTCGAGATAGCATAGTAGCATGGGATCCACAAAAAAGACTACAAATTCATTTTTTATAATGAATACAGTAAGACATTTTTTTAACTCTAAGGTAAAGGAACATCTTTTATTGAAAAAGAGAAGGTGTAGGCCGGTTTCTTAAAAGTGAAAAGTGCAATTAAAGCACAAGGGGTTCCTAATGTCACTTTTAGGCCACATTGGAATCAAAGAATTCCAGCTGAGTTTGATTATTGTGTTTGGTCATCTGTTACAAATCTACTGAATTTACACCTGGGGTCATCCATCCTGGGATTTATCTGTAAGCTCCAATTTCTACTGAATAGAATTTCTATGCTAATGAATAATTAGCATAGAGTCTATATCCTTAAAGAAACTCAAATTTAATGGATTCTAATGCATCTTTAGGTCTGCCACAGTCCAAAAAGTTCCATAGGAAGGGGAAGAAAGCACCGACACTCGTCAAAATTCCAATTTGCTGAAACCTTAGTTTGACAAATTGGAAGTAATATGCTATTTAAAGGTGCAGTAAATAATTTATCAAACCAATAGAGTCTATAAAGAAACTGTTACCTCTTCTGAGTCAATAAGCCCCCAGCAGCCATCGTGAGATTCAAAAAAGATCCTGCCAGCACCAGGATCATTTTTTGAAGAAGATGTAACAAACTGCCAGTATCGATTACGCCTACGATCCTGACCAAGAGGCAGAGACCTATATACATACATCTCTTCCGCTCTATGACCAATAGAAGATTTTAACTGTGAGCGTGACTTTTCTGTGGCATATGCATGTTGCTGAAGTTGGAGATTATCTTGAACATTGAACTCTTGCCCTGCCAAGTTCCTTTCAGTAGGCAAGTTACCTATAATACTTTGACCATTTTGTGGATCAAGAAATAGCTCTTGCTTGGTTGGATTGAAAGATGCCTCATTGTTCTTGTTATCAACATCAACCAGTGGGCTTTGTTCAGCTTCGGTTGCAGAACTAATAAGGTTGTTCTCAGTTTTGACCCCCATATAAGATGAACTCACCTTCATTATGTACTCTTCTTTCATGCGCCTTTTATCCAGTTGAGCCTCTGCCCACATCTGCTTTTTAAGAGCATTTGCTGCTTCCAAGCGTTCCTGCAAAACTCCATTTCAGACTATGAAACAAAAATAATTTAGAAATTAACTTCATTAAAACTTGCTTAGAACTGGTCACCTCTAGAATGACACGAATTGAGTTTCCTTCAATAGCCACGCCAATTAAGGCAACAAGTGCATTGAGACGCTCCTCTACACTTAGATCAGAGTATTCCCCTTCCATTAACCCCTGAACCCAGGGTTCACCCAAATTGCTCTCATCGATCTCTACGTCCTGTTGATCAAAATTGCTTGTTTCATTGCAGTTTGTAGCTACATCACCAGATTGATAAAGGGTAGCACCTGGACTTTTTACTTCCTTTGTGACTTCCGAAAGGAACAGAGAGAAGCCTTTCCCAGAACTAGCAAAGCCACATTCTGGAGTTTCTCCAGCCTCATTATTAGAGGTTTTCTTTTCATTTCCTGAGCAAGTCCTTGGTTGAGTAGCCTTGGCTTCGGCAGAATGGTGGGCTTCTTTTGAATTCAATGGTCTATTAACATCATCAACTTCAGGATCATCAGCACCATCGCATTCAGAATCTTCATCTCTTTCAACATCATCAGCATCATCTACATCCTTTTCAACTTCTTCAGAATCTGAAAATCCACTTTCAAATATCTGTATTTTTTCTCTTGCAGCAGACAATACTGCTTCTGCATCAGCAGGGTCCTTTCTAAAAGTAGGGCGTACACAATATGTTGAAGGAGCTGTTCTTTCAAAAAGGGTTGCATCCCTTGACAATGCAGCAGCAATAGATGCCTCAGGTGTCTTGCTTGTTGTGAGATCCCGGAGGCCAGATTTCTTGGAACAAACAGAAAAGAATGAGGATAAAGGATCAGAAAAGCAAAAGCAGTCTAATATTATGAAAATTACCTGAATCTTGTCTGCAACTTCTAGTATCGTTAATCCCTTGCTTCCCTCAAGAGAAAGAACATGAAATGCTGCAAACTTAACTGTTCCTGGGGTCAAGCGATGCCGGGATCTGCGTGGATGGGAAAACCCCTTTTCTTGCATCAAAGCAACAGCATTTTCAGCTGCTGTCCCAGTGCGTAAAGTAGTAACTATATCTTCGCCATCATGACCCTATACACATAAAGAAAGATCCCCTGTTAGAGATGATAGAACATACAAGTATAGTTTCAATGACAAGTTTAAGTCACCTCCAGAGCAAAATAATCTTAAATCCAATTTAGTTACTGAATGTCAACAACAGAAGCTCTAATGCAATCACACTAAACCAAAAATAACCTGTAAGTAGAGTACAGCCTTTGCCATTTCATTTAACAACAATCTCTTTATTCCCAGAATTGCTAAATTAAATAGAATGTGGGGTGGGGGTGGGGGTGGGGAAGAGGACCAATAAGAAAAAGAAAACACCACGATAACCAAATATGGAGAGAATAAAGGGAGACAGCCAGACAGACAGAGAGAAGGGGCTAATTATAAAGCATGTCAGCTCAAAATACCATCAAGTTAACTTTGAATTCTGTTCTATTGATAACCTGGGACCTTCAGAGTGGAAAGTATTTTTAGAATAAGGGGGGAGGGAGGTAATTATTCTGTTCTATTTGTGAACCAGTGGTGGTGGAGATTCCTTTGTGAGATTGTTTATTTTTGTAGTCTATTTACTCCTATATCATGAATCTGTTTACTTTTATCACAGAAAAGAAAAAAGAATCACAAGAAGAGAGAGAGAGAGAGAGAGAGAGAGAGAGAGAAACGTGTTTTCTTTGCAGAGCAAGTGATGTATCCACTTGAGAGATTAGCAAGTGGCCCTTTTTTTGATAATTCATAAAAAATGAAAACACGTGCAGAGAGATAGAAGTTGCGCTGCAACTTGGATACAACATTTGCTCCATTGTGATGCATCACTTTCTCTGAAAGGGGGGGGGGGAGTCATTAGTAAGTGGCCTTTTGAATTTCTCTTCCCACTCACTGCTCCATTGTGTATCTGTCTCCCTGCAAAGAAAACACAGAGCAAAGAGAACACATGTAGAGAGATTAGTAAGTGGCATTTTTCTTGTGATTCTTTTTTCAAATCTTTATCCTCCAACTCTGTCCCAAGTAATCTTCCCTTTTTTTTTTGATATTTCATTAAAAAAAGATCACATAAATAGACTTGCATTCATAATACAGGTGCACTAACCTTGACCATCTAACAGTGACAAGAACACAAACACAATATAAATTGTGGCTGCTAACTTGGTTATACCAGTGTCAATATAGAAATCCAGATAAAATGACGAATGTTTTTTTAATCAATAAATATAATGCTTTATTAGAAAATCAAAACAAAGTACAATCAGCAAGGAAATGGAAGAGATAAGATCTCTTAACTTTCCCAGTGAATTTCTCATTCCAGCTATAATTGATCCCAAAACAGATATTCCCTATCCATCAGCTAAAGAGTTTGCACTTATTTTAACCCAATGCAACTTTACTTCCATGTCCTGATTTAGCCACTTGAATGTCTTCCTTTCGTTGTTATTGTTCCAAAGCCTATTCTTCTCTTCTTTCAGCAACCCACTACCAGCTTGGAATCTCCTTCAATAATCAGCTTTCCAATACACATATCCCTTGCCCTTTGTACTCCTTCCATTACAGCCAATATCTCAGCCATTAAGGACCCACCTACTCCAATTGGTCCTGAAACAAATGCAAGTATTTTGCCCTCCTCATTCCTAAAAAAAGTTAAAAACACTTTCAATGCCTTAAGGCCCCGAGTTTCCCACACAACTTCCATCAAAATTCAGCTTGACAAACCCACTGTTTGGAGGAATCCGAACAGGAGCTATAATATCCTTAACAGGGGCTGAATCTGCTACTTCCAGCTTCTAAACAGGCCACCAGTTGGAATATCATCAAACAATTCCAAAGACTTAACCCAATGAACCACTCAGATGTAGTAGACAGCCTCAATGTTTGCTTCCCTACTTACCTCCTTATCTGAAAAAATTCTTGAATTCCTTTCTTCCCAAATAGTCCAACTAATAGCAGCCCTTGCACATCTCTGCATTATTCTTCCCCTTTCATTTGGCCAACTGAACATTGTTGATGCAAACAAACTTTGCACATTCAGATCATTCCTTTTGCAGTTAATGTTTTATGATTTACATAAAGAAATTGCTCTAAACCTAGACATCTAGCTCATTAGCCAGTAACAATATTGCAGGAAAAGGTTCAAACATATACTGCAACTAGCAAATCTAAAATCAAAATAAGCTCTTTCAATTGCTGAGGACAAAAACAACATACAAGCATTTCTTTTTTCAAGAAAGAACTTCAGTCATCAATGATAACACAGGATCTTAAGTGTAAAGGGATAAAACCTCATTGTCATCGCAAAAATAAGCCCTTCCAATACTCCTATTTTTTAGTTGAGGTCCAAATCCAGCAGACAACCCAAATTGTCGCAGAATTTCAGGCCATGTCAATGGACTCAAGTGGCGCTGCCAACTGCGTATATCAAAGCCCCATGCATATGCCTGATATAGGAATTAGGAAGTGGAAGTTTAACAAAAGACTCTATACAAATAATAAGATACTACATCAAAACTAAGAAGAAAGTGAGAAGCAGAAAATAAGGCATACCCCTTCAACAATCTGTGGATGTCCACCTCCTGGATTAGCAGCACTATTTTGATTAGCACCAATTCCAATAGAAGGTGTCCTTGCAACATCCTCAATATCTTTTATAATGGATCTCAAAAGGACAACATGCACCTCACTCAACAATCTCGGATCCTGAAATGATACAAAAAGTGAAAAGAGTATAAAAAACAATGGGAGAATGCAGCAAATTAGACATAATGGGGAAAAAATTTTTTTGATGAGTAAAAGAACTGGCCCAACTAAAAGAGATATTCAATAACTTACAAAATCATGAAGAGCTTGAACAAATTCATCAAGCGTAAAAGGCCAAAGTCCAAGAACATCAGCAAAAGTAATTAAAAATCTCCAAACCTGAGAAATTCAGCTGCAGTATTTAGAACCTCAAAAGGAAAAGCATTAAATGAATGAACTTCATGAACTCAAACCGTTAGACAGACAGCTTAACCTCCAGGCAAAGAAGAAAGAAAAGAAAAGAAACACTCAATGCTTAATGGGGATGGGATAGGAATTACCATAAGAAGGTTCCCTATGTTCTCCTCCGAATTAGTCCAGGGCTGAATTGAAAATGGCATTTTTAATCGCACTGACTCAGGAGGAAATGTACTCAACATATCTAAGGAGTAAAGATCTTGTTAAAGACAACTAAAGAAAGTCTTGGAAACAAGAAAATAAGATAATAAATAGATCAGAAGCTTAAGATTTCATACAGTTCCAAATCCAAAGAGGGAAACAAAAATTATGAAGATTCACATTTTAGCCATTTTAACAAAAAGTCGAATCAAAATCATGATTTTTGTGTCAATTGCATGACAAGAGCTGAACATCAGTTTCTTTAATTGAATATTGACTTCTACCAAATTCAAAGACCTGTAGGTTTCAGCTCACCTTCTTTGTTATGTTTCATTCATGGTTTGCAATATCAACGATATTTAGCAATATAGCCCCAAAATATCCCCATTTGCTAGGTAAGGTTACGAAATCTTGTGGGAACCTTTTTTTTTTCAAATATCCCCAATATTTTGCTGATATGCCGGCAATATTTCAGATTTCATTGATAGACTATATAATTAAAATTTAAAATTTTAGAATATTATTAAAAATTTCAATATTTCATTATAATCATCATAATCTTATAAAAATATTTTCCTAAAAGAACCTGAAGGGAATGGTGATTGGATAAGTGGATTTACTTTGATATGACTCCCTTACTAAGTCACTATAATTCAAAAGAAAAAGAAAGATGCATATAACTACAAAACAGTATTCTCAATATAATCAAAACATATAGTAACAATAAAGACAAAAGTTAAAATGGCAAATAATTGGCATATATAAAGAAGAGAATATGACTAAAGACCAAAAGGGAGACAAAAAGAAACATACCTATTAGTCTCTTAATTTTTCCTATTTGATTTATATAGTTCTTTGCTATGGTTTTGACTTTTGAGCCTTAAATGTGCAATTATATTTCTTCTAATGATCTCTTGAAAGTTTATTAACGAATTCCCTGTTTTTAGAGAACTTTCCTGATTTTTTCAATTTTCCAAATATCTTAACAAAATTTCTTTAAAATTTCTCCAACTCTACATGGCAAAATGTTCATCAATATCAAAAACATGAACCATGGTTCCACCTTTTACCTTAGCATGGCACAAAAAAGATACTCTTACATGAATACAGTCCTTGAAGGTTTTTTTCCTTTTATTTTCTTTTTCACAAAAACATACTGATGTAAGCATACTATCCTAGCAACATTAAGGGATGCATTAAACACACAGTTCATGCAGTGTAGGATAGAAGTTTGTTTATCAGGTCTTAACGAATGCTGATAGGGAGAAGTTACAAAAGCATACTGATTATTCTAACGTATCATGACAATATTCTTTTCTTGACCCACATACTTGGGATAAGGATGGAATTATGATGATAGAGGCTTTTAGTTGATATAGGTGATCATTCTCTGGTAATATAGCAACTCCATGTATCCAACCAGAAAAAGGATCAATGTTCACTTAACATAGAAAGGCAACTAGTAGCACTTTTTGACTCCCTAGGAAACAGAAAGCATGCCACAAAATTGCATCTTTCCGTCAAAGATAAAAAGACAAAAAAAAAAAAAAACTTAAAAAGGGAAGAATATCAAATGATGCATATGATAAGATAGACAAAGAAAACCCAAAAAAAAAACATAAAATACAGAAGTTAAAAGTTGACAAAACAGCTGAATATTTAACAATTAGGATCTAAAAATGGAATACCTAAAAGCCATACATTAAATATTACATCAGTGATGTCTAAAGATTGGAAAGAAACTTAAAATGTGTACAATACCAAATATGGTTTAGAACTTCAATAAACTTTGACGATTCCCCCAAAGGAGAAAGTAGAGGAGATATGATGATACTGCCCAGTCGAACCTTGACAGTTGGTACTCACATGTAAGCAAACAGCAAATCGACTTGAATTACAATGATACTTACCTCTGAATGACTGAAGATTTTGTAATGTCTCACTGTCCAGATAAAGTATTGAGGGTAACCCTTTAGTTGAAACAGCCAACTCCATAAGTTCCAGACGTTCATCCTCAATAAGCTCCATAGATTCCTTAGCAATTCTACGAGCAGTAGCCCTCTCATTAGCAGCTTTAATTCTTGCAGCCTCCTTCTCCCTACGAAGTTCTTCTTTCTGCCTTAATTTCTCAGCCTGAATTAAGATATAAGAATCACGAGTATATTTTAAGTAGAAATTCCCAAATCACAGTATATGAGGTAGCAAGACTTACTCTCAAAGTTTCTTTCTGCAAAAACCTCTCCCTTCTCTCATTCTCACGCCTTTGCTCCCGCTGGAATCTCTCCTCTTCCCGTTGCTTTTCACGCATCAACCTCTCTTCTTCCTTTCGCCTTTCACGGTCATGCCTTTCCATTTCTTTTCTCATTTGCTCCTCTCTCTTCACATAGGACACAAAGAACTAATGTTTACAACTAATGCGATTTGTAGAACACAAAATTAATAGTGATAAGATTGTACCTTTCGCCTCAAAATATCTTGCTTTTCAAGCTCTTTCCGTATCCGTTTTTCATGTGCTTCAACTTCCCTTGCTATTCTTGCTTCCTCACTCTGCACAAGGGTAACAAAGCGTTCATGAAATATTAATTTAGTTGAAAGATGCCAAGTCCAGAATACTTCTTTCTAGATTAAGAATACCTTGCGTTTCCTCTCCATTCGAGTAACATCTTCATCATGGGAAACCCTCCTGTCAGATGGTACAAATGGATTTTCCAGTCCAACAATTGGGTGGGCACCAAAGTGAGGATCCATCTCAATATTTGTAAAGGAGTTCCTATGTGAAACATTTTCGTATCCTCCTGAACCTGAAGAGAAGACATGGCCCTTCCTGCCTTGATGAGACAAATGACCAACACCTGACACCTGTCCATGGAATCCATAACCTGTTCCCACCTGCTCATTTCCATGAATAAATGCCCCTCCAGAAGATAATGATGAAGCCCTAGCACTTGGACCATCAACTGGTAAATTATAGTAGTGGGATGGACCGACCCTTTCATAAGTATCAGATCTAACAGTTGGCTGCTCTGGAAGAAATTGGTATTCCTGGACAGCCCTTGCTGCAGTCTGATGATGAACTACATGAACTCCAGCTGGGACTTTTCTTTTCCCACCAGATGAACTAGGTACATAACCATGTTCCATATTGGGCAAAAGTGAAGATGTCTTCTAAGGAGAGAGAGAGAGAGAGAGAGAGCAAATTAAAGAAAAGCTTCTTAAATCTTACAAAGGAAACACAAAGCTTTAATAATCATAGAAACTATAACTAAGTAAAGCAAAACAACAACTAAATCTAAATTTTTCTGACAATGGAATCATTTGAGCATTCACCTGGAGGCATATGGATGATGGACCAAGACTAAGAAAGCTACAAGAAATTTAGAGAGGAAAACAATGCTATGCAATAAATGATTTAACATGTCATAAAACAACACTCAACCCCATTCAAAATTTGACAAGATAATCAAGTGCACTTTTTATTTTCTCCATTGTTTCAACACACGGACAGCCATTTAGACAGTTAGTAGTGGAGGTTCCTCCAGTACAAGGTCGGGCAAGCTTACCTAACCTGCCACAAACTAGTTATGTTCAGAAATTTCAGAATTCTGGCTCGGCACTTAACTGTATGGCCAACTGTTAAGTCAGGTTAACAGTTTAATTGCCCAATCCAGTTTTAGCGCATGAATAATTGGAGACTAGACTAACAATCAAAAAATAGAAAGAAAAAGAAAAAAGGAATTGGAAGCTGGATTAATTGTTCCAGACAGGTACTAAGCAACATGCATGCAAATTAAAAGAGCAAAATTTCTGCAAGATGAAGACAATGCCTGTTAGCATAGAAAAATAAAAGAAAATCCTCCATAAGAATAAATTGCAAAATGAAAATGATTAAGTTGTTATTAATAGTCACAGAAAGTAAAGCAGAATACTAGAGGCTCTTGTAAATACTGCCTTCCTGTGCTTGTTAGTCTAGAAAGATAAGTTCTAAATACTATGGGGATCCATTGTCAAAGAACACAAGTTGGGTTATAGTTGAATTCTTCAACTATACTTCTTGGCTCCCTTCCCTTTTTTCCCTAGATTCTCTGACACAAGTTAGATTATCTATTTTTTAATTTTCTGATGGGTAACCAAAAATTTTATTAACAGGACATAAAATATACAGAAAGATGTACAATTTTGTTTTGATAGGCAGCAAGATTCATTCATTCATTCATTAAAAATTAAAGAGAACTTACGGAGCATTTATGCAAAGTGTTGAGAGTATAGAGTCTATCTCCCCCCTTCTATATACAAGTATCAAATTACAACACCACACAAAATAAATGATCCCTAAGTGCCCCTTGTTTTGCCAAAGTATCAGGCTATTGGTCATGATGTTGACTAATCTTTGCACCCACTGAACTTGCACTAGTATACCCCTTGTTAAACATTTCAGTTTGTTCATTTCATTTCTGTAGATACATAGAGTTTTCTTTCTATTCTGTAACCACCCACCACCATCTTTGAATGTCCCTCCTCTGATCAACTTATTAATATTTTAACTCTTTTGCTTTCTGCACTCCAATCAATGCATCCATGACTTCTGCTCTTAGGGAATCCCCTACACCAATTGGCCCCACGTACATTGCCTTTACTACTGCTGAGGTTTTAGACAAATTGTGTAGTCTATAGTGGTAGTTTTTGATTATTTACCATTTAGATTGGAAGTGGGGACCACAGCACTCTTGTTGGGTCCTTTTTGAGCAGTTATTTTAATTATTTTATGCTGTTTTGTGTTAACCTCGCTATGAGGTCATATTCGTCTTTGTACTCTTTATCATTTTAGACTACAAATAATAGTGAAGAGGGCAGCCAGCATTATTGCTCTCTTTTCTCTCGCAAATCTCTTCTCTTCCTTTTCTCCTTTCTTCTCTTCTTCTACAAGAAATACTCTCTTCTTTTACAGATTTTTTATTTCAGCACTTTTCTACTTGGTATCAAAGCTTGGCTAAGGTTTCTTGGAGTTTTTTCCATGCAGTCCTAGATCAGCCGATTGCATGAGGAGATAAAGGGCTGATCAATCTACTTCAAATTGCCCAGTTCTTGGGTTTTTTGGTGTGATCTAGTCATTAGGAGGGTGATCTATGTTTTGGCATCAAAATCAAGAAGAACTGGAGTACGGGGAAGAGTCCTAGTCAAGTTGGACTCTTCAATTTTGATCTGATATTGGGCATTCAGGTATTGTTGGACTTCTCTAGGTATAGGGGCGGTTAGGTTTCTGGAATTTTCTAGGCTCTGGAGTGGCTGATTCACTTTTCCCTCCGGTAGGAGATAGTGGGAGGAGAGAGATTTCTCTCCGAATAGGGTTTTCTTCTTCTGAAAAGGTCTATTACCTTTGCATGTGAGATCAATTTGATATTGGAGGCTCTCTACCTAATTATTTTCTGCTTCTGAACTGTTTGAAGTAAAATGGAGAGTTGGAGTACTGAACAGAAGTCCACTGGTAACATGGGTCTGGGTGTTGGAGGCAGTAGTGATATTTTTGGGTCTGGAATTATTACTACAGTGAAGTTTGATGGTACAAATTATCTAGAATGGGCACAATCAGCCAAGATGACCATTGGTGCTCGTGGGAAACTGGGGTACATCACTGGGGAGGAGAAGAAACCTGATACAGATCCCCCCCAATAGGTACAGGAGAATTACATGGTGATGACCTGGCTGTTATGTTACCTCACATTGGTAAATTTTTTTTTTGGGCTAATACTACAAAGGAGATTTGGGATGGAGTGACTAAAACCCATTCCCAAAAACAAAATGTAGCTAGAGCCTATCAGTTAAGGAATCAGGTGATTAGTACAAAACAGGGAGATAGACCTCTTGCCATCTATTTCTCCATGCTGAAAACTCTTTGGCAGGAGATCGACTACTTAGAAACTGTGGTGTTGGAGAGTATGAAGGATGCAGCAGCAACCTATCAGGGGTTGGTAGAAAAGAATGGGGTTTTTGAGTTCTTGGCTAGGCTGAACCCTGAATTCAACATTGCCAGGCAACATCTCCTTTCTAGAGAAAGTGTGACTCTTTCTCAAGCTTATGCCTTTGTTTCTGGGGAAGAGAGCAAGAGGAAATATCATGTTGAAACAACCTGGGATTGATCAATCAACTATGGTTAGTATCAGCTAAGTCTAAGCCAAATGGAGACAAGGGGAGTAGTGAGGCTAGGAAGGAGGACAAGAAGAAGGACTTGGTGTGTGACTATTGCAAGATTAAGCATACTAGAGATACCTGTTGGAAGCTTTACCCTCATCTCGTACCAGCTCAGATCAAGAACGAGAAGGGAAATGCAAATGTGGCAATTACAAGAAACCCTTCAAGACCCCTCTCCCAGGCTGATCTGGAGTCCATTGCAACGGCAATAGTGAGGACTGAGATGGAAAAGTATGGACAACTTATGAGTAAGAAGGATTTAGCCAGTTCTAGTTCTTCAGATGGGCAGAACAGTACAGAAGTCAACCATACTACTTCCTTTGCTCATACAGGTAATTCATATGGAGTTTCAAAGCATGCATCCACTTCAGGTAAGTAGGGACCTCCCTAGGTTATAAACTCAGGAGCATCTGAGCACATGGCCAATATATCTACCCTCTTTAGTTCTTACCAGTTGTGCTCTGGTAGAGATAGAATCTCTACAGCAGATGGTCCCCATATTCCCATTACTAGGAATGGAACAGTTAAAGTGACTAATGACATTACTTTATCCTCTGTCTTACATGTCCCTAAACTCCACACTAATCTTCTTTCAATAAACACTTCATAATGTCTGCATATTCAAATGGTGAGGGTGAGAGGGTGAGGAACTAAGATGGGAGGGAAAGAGGAGGGGATGGAGTTCGTGCAGGCAGGTCAGTGGAGGAGATCCTTGAAGATAGAAGCAAAAAATCTCCTGTTTGAAGAGATGAGAATTAAGGGGAAGGAAGCCTGAAGGTAAGGGAAGCGAAAAATGGTACAATACTGCTAGAAGGATTAGAAGTGATCGAGTGGCTAAGAGAGTTCATAGCTGGAGCCTGTTCAAAAGGTAAGCAGATAAACTGGCAGGATTTTAGTACATTAGAAGGGAGAAGATATGTTGTTGAATGTTAGAGGAATAGAAAGAGGTTCTTCATAGCTGAATTCTTTGGTAAGGGACAAAGGCAACTGGTGTGTCTACCAGCARGAAAACAGAACCAAGGTTGGGGGGAAGTTGACTGGTTGCTCAAAGAATTCTTAGCTCAAAGAGTAGCAAATGAGAAAAAAGCCTCCATAAGGGAGAAGGTATATCTCAGCAACAATAGGGTAGAACAAGGGCTAGTGGTCATGGCAAAAACGAAAGGCCATTGCAGAATGGTGGGAGGTCTAGAGAGAGAGGAGTGGGATAGTAAGCTTGTGATACAAGCCAAGGAAAAGGTTAATGATTGGAGGAGGGTAGCTGACTTACTGGCAACCAGGTTGAAGCTGAAGAGTGTCTTCATAGTAACCCCCTTCGATAACTGTAAAGCCATCCTAGATCCATTAAAGAATGATTTGGAAATATCAGCTATCAATGTTCADGCTGAGTTCGGATCATTCACAGTCTTCAAATGGAATCCAACATCTAACTCCAATGATTTTTTTTTCGAAGATGGTGTAGTGGTGCGTGTAATAGGCTTGCCATTCCATCTATGGAAACAAGAAATAGCAGAATCTATAGTTGTGTTGTGTGGAGGAATCTTGAAAGGTGCTTTCTGGGGAGATCTTTACTCAGTAGCAATCCTGCTAAGTGGTGTGAAGCCAGAAGACATTCCACGAAAGGTAGAGGTACGAACAGA